CGCCAACGGTATTAGCGCAATCTCATGGTGAGGGACTGGAGTCTGCAGCGGCCTCGTCTCGCTCCGCCCTCCGGCTCGTTCTTGCACCCACCAATGCCGAGAAGCTCGCCAACGCTACTGAGCGACTTATTAAACGCAGAAAGTCCGCCTACAAGTAAGTTTCTATCCGTTTATTCAGTTTAATTTCTCATTGCTCGTGGATTAATTATTTGGTTCGAATACACACGTTGTATTTGCTACTTGTTACTTTGTTTTGTACGCCTTAATGCATTAACTTACGCTTTGCATGGACCCAGATTTTGTGTTACCTCTTCTAAAAGGTTTGTTACTTCACTAAGAGGACCAATCACACTCCGGAAACGATGAATTCTTCTGGTTCCTTTTTTCGTTTTGAAATTTATGTCAGTACTCGGTGATTCTGTGCAAAGCTAAGCAAGAAAATTAAGAGCATTATAGATGGTTCACAGTAAGTTGGTCTTGTTCTCACCTTTTTATCATTTTTTTGTTGGAAGGGAAGGAACTATCGCCCTTCATTTTTGTTCGAAATTGTGGCAAAGCAGCAGGGTCACCCTAAAATGCCCGAAATTTAGTACCATCTTCCTACATGCTTTGCGATTCAATTACTATTAGACTATTTAGAATAAACCGATAAGGCAAAGCGGCGGATGCACTCTGAGTTGTTTGAATGAGCAGTAGTTGAAAATACGGTCCCCTTCATTAGCTATTTTAGTATAAAAGTAAACGTGCAAATGTCTTCATATGGTTTAAGCTCTTTCCTTCCTTAATCTCCTTGTTTTTTTACAAAACGGAGTTTGTTTTGATGGTTTAGGTTTATGCTTCGAGGTGTCTATGCGGTATAAACTCAACACATTTTCACGGCTTCACCTTCGTAAATGTTAGCAGAATTTCTCTTCTTCTAGGAAGGCAGTGGCAAACTTTGAGTATTGGAAAGATGTCTCACCTTTTAGCCACTTGCATCGCCAACTACAGCTGAGTGTGCGATCGCAGGCCAGTCTTGGTGTGGACAAACCCGCGGTCTCACCCTCATACGTTTTCGGTGGCCAGCACGTGCCAGTGGTTGTGAGGTTGGCCGAATCCCTCTGGGCCGACGGGTTGGCCGGTGCCATCAACACTGGGCGTTCTCTCCTTAACGGAACGGAATTGCTCGGGAGAGATCAACTTTCACGTGCCCTCGCCCTTTTACGCGTCGATGAGAGAGGTTTGTGTTGCTTGCTTATTTTACGCTTAGACCACCCTATTAGTCTAAATCTTTTCTCCCCTTTTATTAGGCGCGAAGACTCTTGGCCGTGTCTCACTGGCGCCCACGCAGACAGAAGAGCAAAACGGAGGACAAAGGACTCTTTCACACGGGCAAACGGTGGTGGTAGCTTTCGTGGGTGGTTGTACTTACGCTGAGGTGGCAGCTCTTCGATTTGCGGCGGCACGTCGCTGCTGGCGCCTCCTCATTGCAACATCACAAATCCTCTCCACTAAATCCCTCATTCACCAAGTTGGGCAGGCGGCTGCGTTATAGGTCCCTCTCTGGGCTGTGAAACTCAGCGTTATTTCTCACCATTTTGTCATGGCTGTGCTTTCATTATTAGTTTTTCTACCGCGTCTTATTTTTCACTGTTTTAGCTGGTTAGGATGGATCATCTGTTTCATTGTTTAACTGGGTGACTGGTTAACTCTTAAAAAAGTGATAATAAACCGCTCTTTCTTCACCTCTTGAGCAAATCACAAATTGAAGAATC